TATACAAGTTAAAAATAAACTAAGAGCAAATACACAATAGCCTTACACATAAAGCTACAAAAATTGTAAAACAAAAAATTTAAGGTGAGCATTTTGAGCTATTTTAGTTATAAATTATTAGAAGTAAATTTAAAAAAAAAAATCATTTTATTATAACAAAGTATTATATTATTTTACAAAAAAAAAAAATATTCTAACGTAGTTAAGGTGTTCAAAACACATTTCAATTTGATGATAAGACAATTATGCACTTAAATAATTTCAACATCTCCACTTTAGAATGTTTTAATTTTTATAGAGCAATCATAATTTTGTTTTTAACTTTTTCTTTTTTTTTCTATAATCATACATAGCCAAACTTGTTATCTTCCAAAATAATTTCTAGATTAACTTTATAAAAAGCTTGAACCATTGATAGCATCATCACAAAAATTAGCGTTGATCGAGGGCACGAATTTCGAGGCGCAAAAACTAAGTTGGAGACTTCAAAAAAATTAAATCGGAGCAATCCGAACTCCGATTCAACGATCTTATTAAGTCAAACTGAGCGTCTCGGAAATACGAACCCAACAAAACACCAAGATCGAACCCAATCCGAGCCCAAATAAGTCCGAGATCAAGAGTGTCAGAAAGCGCTGGTTGGAAGGTTCAAACCGCCCAATTTGGAGTTACGCAAAACGTCTTTCGATTTTGACGAGCTCTGATACTCGAATCGAACGGCTCGACGAGACGATCCAACGAGCCCAAGATCACTAAGATTCCGACATCATTAAGGCCTCCAAATGTTGCCAACGAACGTGTGCAACGAGGCGTTTCAGGATTCGAATTATCGGGCCGTCCATTTGGACCACTCCCTTATTCGCCCATTGATTCTCACACCATTTACGGGACCATGCCACTCCAGACAAAATCTATAAATAGAGCCCTCAATTCTTCACAAGAGAGCATCGAAGGCAAGAGAGAGAAGAAGAGAAGAGAGGGAAGAAGAGAAGGAAGGAGCTCCGTCCTCGACAAGCCGCCGGAACCACGCGGAGACACCACAGGAACCTGGCCGGACCACCACGAACCTCCGCCGGACCACCGCAGAAAACCCGCCGGACCACCACAGAACCTCGCCGGGACCACCGCGGACCACCGCAGAAACCTCGCCGGACGCACCACCGGCATCCACCGCAGGAAACCTCGGCCGGACCACCGCAGACCTCGCCGGACCACCACCTTAGGCCTTGACGGTCCAATCCTAGTCCTCCTGAAAGGACCCGACGTCCTGCCGAAGACTCGACTCCTGTTCAAGGCCGACACTTCGGGTCCCTGACGCCGCTGTTCAAGCCCACACTCGGGTCCCTACGCACCTGTATTCAAGGCCCGACACTCGGTCCCATACGTCCTGTTCAAGGCCCGACACTCCAGTCCCTACGTCCTTGCTTGAAGACCCGACGTCTTTACTTTGGGGGGGGGGGGGGGGGGGTGGTTTGGGTGACCCAACGTTCAGTCCCTTAGTCTACCCAAAGACCTGACGTCTTACTTAAGTAAACTGATTGTAAAACTGATCACCGCTTAGAAGGTGATTCAGTCTTTGTAAACCAACTCAAAGCTAGTGGGAATCATTTTTCAACTGGGCGAGGCCTTCGTGGTTTTATTCCCTTTTTAAGGGTTTTTTCCACGTAAAACAATCTGGTTTATTCTCTGTGTGTGAGCTAGTTATATACGTACAACTGTTAAGCGCAGAATTAATTCTCTATCGCCCGTATTTTCTAGTCCGCAACAAACCTTTCTAAAACAATAGACTAAGGCTTCGTTTGAGACGTTTTTTATTGCTTCTTGAAGCAATTTTTAGTATAAAAATTAAATATTTTTGTATTAGAAAGCTGCTTCAAGAAAGCAGTAAAAAAGTCGTCCCAACGAAGGCCGTTTGGGATAAGCTTTTTTTTTTTTTTTTTTTTTTCTTTTTTATTTTGCTTAAACTTTTAAAAAACATTTTTTTTTCTAGTACAAAAGTTTTTTTTTTTTACTCGAAAGCTGCTTTAAAAAATAATAAAAATATCGTTCCTAAATCTCTTTTAAAAAACAATTATTTTTAGTAAAAGTGAAAAATTTAAGCAAAAACAAGGGCCTTGATCAAACAGTTTGCATATTACATTGATTCTCAGCAATAAGAGTGTTGACCAGGTATTTACATATTGACATTTATTAAAGTTGATTTAAAATTATGTGAGAAAAACTAATATAATTATATACTGATTATTAAAAAAAGATTCTACCACCAAAATTAATTTAAAAAATTAAAAAACAACAAGAAAATAATAGCATAATAAAATTGTGATTGATGCTGAAAAACAAAATTACAACAAGGCTTAGGAAGTTGGTGGGTGCAACACAGTTGGTGAACTCCCCATCACGGGTTCGAATCGCCCTTCTATACTGATCTCGCTCTTCAGTGGGCAAATAAATGTGGGACTCCGATGCCGACTTGGTGCTCGTTTAGATTTTATGATGAATTATAACATCGCAAACATCCCATTTTAAAGTCAGAAAATTTTGTGGCCATCACTTTCACTTTTAGTTGCATATGCCGGTTCACATAAAAGCTTTGTGCTATTTATAAAACTTGGTAATAAAAAGTCTTGGATTTAAAGCTTATGGATATGATGTGAATGTGATTGGTTGATTCCTGTTATGCGCGTGAATTTGTTTAATTTGCTCATGTTGATTATATAATAAATGAAAAAAACAGCGTAA